ACTTCGCAATTGCCTGTCGTCAGCGTCCTCGTTCGAAAAATAGTGCCTACCGGTATGATACTATGATAGAAACCTTCCCCTACCGGCAGTGATCTTGCCCTCTTAACACCCCTGTCACACCCAGCCAGTCCACAAATTAGACTACAGTAATAAAAGCTCCCAAGGTCCAAAGGTACGGTACGCAAGTACTAGATTTACTGGTAGCACAGTGGAATTCCAACCAAGGCAAAAAAACGATGATAAACCATCACACCGTCCACTTTCCAATAAATTAAGTAAAATAAAATAAAAATGAATAAATCACGCAAAGCAAAGCAAAGCAAAGCAAAGCAAATCCATCCATCAGCAGTCACGGGCCCGAAAAATCAATTTCTCAATGAATGAAAAGGACAAAGGAAGCTTTTCGCATGAATGCGGTGCGATACCGCAACAAAGCACCCTGCTGCCCCTCCCAACGGCAACGCACACATACAGCGAACAGCACGGCACGCGGCTGCCTGGGGTTTTTCAAACCCTGCGGCTGCGCGGTGGCGGGAATGACTACCGGTATGGTATCATAACTCAAGTCAAACAAGGTGGTCGTTGTCAGGCGGTGCACTGTGCTAGTACTCGCATAGTACTCAGGTACCGCTTGGGTTGTTTTTTTGGGGGTGGGGGGGTTTGTGCACCGGTACCGGTACAGTATGTGTATTGGAGGTGCGATGGTGTTTCCCCATGTTGAGCCTACCCGCTGTCATGGGAGGAAATGTGCTCGTTTTGTTCCCTGTAACTTTTGGTCGGGAGTGGAAGACTCTTTCTCTCGGGACCCTCTCTCCGTAGGGAACTGGGAGGAACCGGAGGGGAAGATAGCATACCAAATACCAAATACAATATCGGTACTGTACCGTACGGTGCAGTGCTTAAGCGTTAGGAAACTAACCAACTCAGGGAAGCCGCGCAATAGGAATCCCGGAAAGACAGAAAAATCGCTAGCGATAAATCATAAATCTGAGTGACGATCCATGAACAATCCCTATCCCTAATATCAATACCGGTATCCCCTCCGCGCTCGCGTCTGGTGTTCTCCTGTGCATATGATACCGGGGATTGCCCCCCGTGTTCTTGGAATAAGGCCGGTCCCGAGAGCATCCCATTCTCGTGATATCATATGCCCCCGAAAGTGAAGCCCATCCGAAAACCACATGCTCTTCACCCTGAGAATTCCCACAAAAACCGGTAACAGATAGGAGTATTAAGCACAAATGTGGCACAGAGCACAAATTCCTTTTGGCAGTTTGCGCAGTGCTGGCGGTTTCCAAAAAAGTATGATACTGTATGGGGATTTCTGGCGAATGGCTTAGCAACACAACAACCTTTTTTCCCACCCATCTCGCAAGGGAAGTGGACAAAAACGCGGTGGAAAAAAGAAAAAAGAAAAAAACCCCCTCCAAACAATATTCTCCAAAAATTTATATTATTATTTTTCCCAAATTTTCTCAAAGTTCCCCCAATCGATCCCCCCCACCGATCTAGGGGACCGAACCGACGCCAAGCCCAGCCGAGATTTCAAGATACGGTATCATACTGTGCTGTGGGAGAAAACCTCCTGCTGGGTGCTGTTCCTTGATGATTGGCATGGCGCTGGAACGGTACCGTAGACTACGAGTACTGTACCAACGCGGCTGAGTTGAAGTTGGGTGCTTTGTATGAGAACTGCTAAATTAGACTACCCTATGCCCAACTTCAGCTCGGCCACGCGAGTACTCGAACAGAGGAACCTATGATATATATAAATATAGGACAGAGACCTATTTGCTGTTGTCGCGAAAGTTGTCAGCGCAGTTGTTCGCAGATTGTGCAGCATGTATAAGCGATATATCATACGTGTCCTACAACGCTTTTGAAAATCGCAAGTGCGGGTACTGTACAGTATGATACACAGGTACCGGTATGTTGCGGGGTTGCCTCGTGTTTGGGGTCAACTTTTGTAACAATTTCCGAAAACTGGAGAATTCCGCGCCCAATCAATACCGCAGCGCTACCGTATCCGTGTCCAAATATGATACCCGAGACTCTTGCTCTCCTTGGCCCTCCCGGGGAAAGCCCTTTTACGAGTAGGTTAGTCTAAACAAATTGGGGGAAAGAAACAAAAAAAACAAAAATCGAAAAACCGAAAAACCGAAAAATAATCTACTCGAGTAAAGCTTGCGAACACCTCCCCTACCAGTATTTTTTTGAGGATAAGGCAGTGTGCCGGGTGGGAGGGGGTGAGGAACCTGTGGTGATGTTCTTGAACTTCTTGGCAAAGCTGTCCACCAAAAATACAGCTTTAAGCGAGAGCTGATGAAAGCACGCTTCCTTTCCCGGTTTCCTGTTTGGACCTTTCCACCGCCAACTTCGCGAGGGACCGAAGGTGGGGTGGCTCCCTCAGAGATTCCGCTTTTCCGATGGCATGCTTCT